CAGTTAACAATGGACTGGAGATTGATTTGAACATCAGCTGCCATTTTGACCTTGTCACACTGATCAGCCTTACTATTGAGGCAGGAGTAAATTGTTGTGTCGTTAGCATAAATGCCATGTTTGAACTGATGTTATTAGGAAGGTCATTAATGAAAATTAAAAACAGTAGGATGAAGCCCTGGGGGACACTTGTGTTAATATGAAAGGATTTAGAGTGGCTGTTCAGGATAACTTTTATTTTGTGATTTGATAGGAAAGACTGGATCAGTTCAAAAAAGTATCTGGAAACACTGTAACTTTTCAGCTTGTGAAAAAAACCTGTATGTCAAACCCTGTCAAAGGCTTTCAAGATGTCCAGTGTTCACCGTTTTTACCTAGAGCATGATAGACTCTTTCTGTAATTATTGTCAGTACAGTGCTTGTCTGAGAAAAGGCACTGCAATGAGAGATGCTGAACCAATTCAGCATTGTTTAGGGCCTCTAGGAGTTTCCCAAAAAGAAGTAGAAGGCTAATAGGTCAATAGTTGAAAGGGTCGGACAGTTCCGTAGAGTTTTTAAAAACTGGAACAACAGATGATGACTTCCAGCAGGCAGGAAAACAGGAGGCAGCAAAGCATTTATTATACAGTTTAAAGAGAACAGGAGCCAGTTCAGGAGTACACTTCTTAATGACTTGCTTTGTGGGGATCTAGGTTAGAGATAACAGAAACCATGGAAGGAGTTATATGCATATCACTTAACAGAGATACAGTTCTAAGTGTGAAGTTAGGTAGGGATACTTCAGATGAATCAAAGGTTGAGTTTGATGAGAATTTACAGGCAAAGCATTCAGCTTTATCAACAGAGGATGATCACATTTTAAATTCATTGAAGTGGAGAGGAATAGAGATCTTGCACTTATTTAATACTCTAATTACAAGAGCCAAAGTTATTTGAGTTGTTGGTTCCTGTGTGCTATAGCATCCGAACATGCTGGTGTAAACCATGCAGAGGATTGAGGTTTCACCTGGTATTTCTGAGAAGGGATGAAAGTGTCCATGCTTGCTTTGACCCAGGAAGAAACCTCAGTGGCACTACCTTCAATTGGGAAGTTAAAGATGTCAATCCAAGGGGCATCATGAAGAAAATCATGGAGTAAGTCCCAATCAGCATGCTGGTAGTGGAATGAGGTCTTATAGATAATTGGTGTTTAATGGATAATTGGTATGAAATATCAATGGATTCCACAGAGTGGTCTGAGTTACCAAGAGAGCAGTGTTGCAAAGCTCAGCATGAGCAAAGAGATGAGAAATAAATCAAATTGAGATGCCTGTTGCTTGGTTTTACTAGGGAAATGAGTAGGGAAATCCAGAATTTGTGTAAGGGATTGGGTAATGGAAAAATTTAATGTCTGAATACCGGCAACATCAGTACCCTTTAGAATGTTTCAGCCATATGTCATGGTGAGCATTAAAGTCACCAAAGACAAAGATGTTTGCAGATAGATGGAGAGAAAGTGCCTTTTCTATACTGTCAGCTATTATGTCTAGGAAGAGGGGGAGTGATAAAGGGGAAAGTGAGAGTTAACAGAGTTTAGTAATGATGGATGGAAGCATATGAAATGGTAATCTTGGGCCTCGAGAGACATTCCCTGGCCATCAGAAGATTATCCCAGATGTAGACACCAAGGACTTGCATGTGAATGCTGCAATCTTTTTGGTAAAGTGGAAGAATTATAAAAAAATGCTTCAGATGAAATTTTTTTCTCCTTTTGTAAGAAAATTGTTCTCTGGAACATTTCATATATTAAAATGATCATTAGCTGTTTTTGGACACCATATGCTGGGCACCAAATATAAATTTTTGACATAACATTACTTGTATTATCAGAAAATCATGATCATGATTTCTATTCCTATGTTTTGGAGTATTAAATCAATTTTTAGCACTGGAAATTAACCACCGCCTCCCAACCCCCCAAAAGAAGTTAAAATGGGTTAAATGTAATATGTAAGCGCTTTTAGGGAATGTTGACTCTTCACTGCAGAACAGGGTTTCTAGAATTAAGTTCCTGTTTTTCATTAGATATGTGAAAATTTTGCCTTATTATGTACAAATGATATTAATACAGTTTCATAATTTACCTGAAAATTATTCAGTTGTCTCAAAAACCACAAATGTCCACATGACCCTATTGTGATGTAATGGTAAGTAATTACCTTACATCATTGTGTTTATTGCCTATCAAGTACTGTATTTTCTTGTATATAATGATTTGAGTATAATTAAACCCCGTGTTTCTGAAGCTAAAAATAAGGAATAAAATTACATCCTTGAGTATCATTCGACCCCATAGTACAACCACCCCAAGGTAAATTTTTTTTTGATAATTGGTACCATATTATCCATTAAAATCTCAATGTTGTACATATATTTTACTAAAATATTTAATTTTTTCTCAGTATTAAAGAATAGAAATGAACCAGATGTTTAGCTATTGCATATCTCTTCTAATTTCTGTTTCAAAATTTATTTTCAAATTGTCTGGGAAAGGTGCTAATTAGACATACCCGGTAATACATTTTAAATTTTTAATTAATCTATCATACTTTTCTGTTTTATATGATTTTATTATATTTCTATATATTAATAAACTATGAAAATAAAAAATATTGTCTTTCTTGAAGAATGAAGAGAGAAAACTTGACAAAAAAAAAAAAATTGACATATAAACAATATATTTGCTCTTGTGTGAAAAACTGTTTTAATTTTATACATTATGCTGATTCCCAAATAATAACTATTACCAACATATCAAATACCTTTTGTACACAATTATTATCAACACCTGCCTACTTTGTGTTTTATTGTTTACTAGCTTAAAAGCTGCCCTGTTGGGTGGCATTTAAGCTAGATCCTGCAAAGGGCTCTTGATTGAGCCTTCATCACAATAGTTAGAGAGGAGTAGATGCGATGGGTAACAATAAAGTACAGAACTCAAAATTGATTACTGCATTTAAGTATAGCATTAATACCTAAGCTTACCTTTTAAAAGTTTGATGATAATTCTTCTGCTGCCACTTAATTTAAAGACAATTTGATGTATGTATGTCCTTACTTTCCATACAAACAATTTATTTTTATTTCATGGGTAACTTTGCTGGATTTCACAATTAATTTTGGTTATTTCCAAAGTTAAAGAAAATTATTGAAAAAAATCATGCAAAAAAAATTGCCAAAAACAATTGCAATAATGAAAACTTGGGAATACAAAATTTCAGGATTGTGGTCTGGATCCATCCTGGAATATTTTTAATTTGCTCACAGTCAACCTGATTCCAAAATGGTATCATATGACCTCTAGGAGTAAATTTGAAAACACAGACAATTTTATTTTGAGACACTGTAATTTTAGAACAGTAATTTTCTTCATTTGAATTGAGCTACTGAAAGTTAGAGAGTTGTCCCTTTAAGTTGAAAAAGTGTAACATAGTGACATTCGCATTTAATATATATATTGTACCAACTGAGTATATTTGCAATCTTGCTGTTTCAAGTTTTTTTAGGTTGAGTAAAAATTTTTGAAAATGTGTACTTGTGTATAATATGACCCCATCACTGTTTTGCCTTTTTAATTTTTGTTCAAAAGTGTTCATATTATGCACAAGAAAATATAGTATATAAGTAGCAATGTACCCTATTGTTTTCTTGCACTTGTATATTCATAATTAATAGACTTTGTCAGGTTGAATCTGCATAATTAATTGTTCTTTCCTTTATGCTTATCTTCCCAGCAACAATTTTGCTATTATTTAAGCAAGATATTTCTACTCAGCAAAGATAATTCTTCACAGTCTGTTATTCTTTCTTTCTTGTCTGCAAGACAGTCCAGATCAATCATGCAGTAAAGAATTGATTCAAAATTTCTCTTTCTCTTCATCAAGTAATTATGTAAACATTATATTGGACAGAAATTTTTTGCGTTAAGATATAGAATTGACTTCTGTTTAAGGATTAATTACAAATTCATTCAAGGGAACAGTTTCCTTCTATGACATAATCCCATCAAGCAGGTAAGTTATACGCCCTTTTTGTTTCAAGACAAAAAGTTCAGGAGAGTAGGGTATATGAGTAAAAATTCCATATTTAGAGTCAAAATCATTTCCTGTGTGTATTTTACAATGGTTTGTCTTGTGTTCTCACACAAGACTAATACACCTAAATATTCAGTGAAGTTTGCTTTTTTTAAAAATTCTTTTTTAGAATAAAGTGTAATGTAGTGCTTCCAGTTGGTAACTTTTTTATAGTTCAAGACTTCATGTTAGACCTTACCCTTCACATGATGCTGAAATAGGCACCTCCACTAATTCACTGCAAAAAAGAGCATACCATGATGAAAAAGGCCCCAAACTTAATAAAAACAAATTTAATCCATCAACAGTGTAACAGAACTGGTAATGGAAATTTTTCTGCCTGTTTTCCAGTAAAATTAATTTGGAAAGTCTTGCAAAAATCAAATAATCATCAGATTTTAATAAAACTTTCAGGACTTATTCACAAATGAATGAATTTATTTTTGAAATTACTTTTAGAAAATCTTGGTAGAACTTTTTTTTTGTTTTTACATTTGTTAACCACTTACTTGATTTCATGAAATTTCTAGAAATTAAGTTTTGTACTCCCAATTTTTTTTATTAGTAAAAATATGTTCACTTGGAAGTAGTAATCTTTTGGTTGATTAAATTTCACCAATAACATTATTTTTTTTTCATTTACTGAATATAATCATTACAAGTATAATCAGTGATCACTAAGCATCAAATGAAAAGGTACATACTTTAGATAATCATGATTATAGTTTTGTAAGGATTTTTATATATTTTGAGAATAAAATTAATAAAAAATACTTAAGAAAATAATTTATAGGATGAATAGAAATTACCAAAAAGAACTTATTTTTCTGGAGACCATTCTATCATGTTTTTGAGCAGTAGTTAATGTAGTTGTTTATAATTTTACAGATATGGGACTCTTATGGACAGCCTGTTTACAGTAGCCTTGCTTATGATTATCCAATAACATCTGTGGCTTGGAATCCAAATGGAGAACTTTTTGTGGTTGGATCTTTTAATAGCCTGCGGTTGTGCGATTGCAGTGGAGTAAGTATAGGATTTTCTTTTACAGGTATTTCAGTAGAGAAATATAATCAGAGATGAACTTAACTATCAGGGTGAAGTTTCTTTGCAAAAAAAATGCCCTTAAAGTTAGTATTGTGTAAAATTAAGTTATCATAGTTTATACAAGAAAATCTATGCTTTCATGTCAGAAATAAGTATTTTGTCTTTTTCAGATTATTTTCTATATTAATATTATTTTTATTTATGCAGTTAGATTAATTGTTTTGTTGTTGAAGATATATTTTTCTTAAAGAAAAAGGTCTCCTTTTTAGATTGTAACTGAAGTTTTAAAGTCAATTACAGATGTATTTTTTCTTGAAAATACTTTGTTGATTTCATAAAAAACAGTTTTTTTCTTGTCATTATATTAATGTTTTTGTTCCATATGAACCTCTGAACTTATAAGAGCATTTACACATGTATTTGCTTACAGTTTTTGCATATGAAAGGTTTATTGTTATGTAATATCACGCAATAAAACATGCATATTTGTTTTCTTGTATGGAAATTAAAAACATTTTCAGATTCTACAATTTGCTTATTTTTGTGTACTTTCAATATAGTCAGTAATTTAGTCAGTAAAAATAAAAACATGTTTTGAAATTTTTGATTAAAAACAATGGTAAATATGTTGTTCAATAAAGCATTGAACAACATATTTACCATTGTTTTTATTCCCATGTCTTCTATCTTTTAGTCAATGTCATAATTTCATCCATCCAGAAATTTCAATCTTTGTCAGTATAGATGTTCTAAATTCCTTATGTAGAGAATGAAAATGTTTTGTTTTTTCATTTTTTTTTATACTAATGTCCACTCTATACATGGCCGAAGAGCTATTCATAATAGTTGATTATTGAATGAGGGTGTTGTACGAGTGTAAGAGGTGGAGGTAACAATTGCAGTTTATGCAGTAAAGATAACAGTTAACCCTAGACTATAGGTTAAGATTGTAGTGTTTGAGAAAGCATCCTTTTGGAGGTCGGTTCCATAAAGTAGTGATTCTTGGAAAAAAGCTTACTAATGGAATGTGAAGTGAATGCAGATGGTTCATCCCAGTGTATGTGAATGTCAGAACTGGTATAACTAAGGAATATAGCTTATCGGAACATTTGCCATGGAAATAGCAATTTGCAATGTTTCATCTGTGGGAAAGGTGCCGTAGGGTGGAAAATTATTCATTACCAACACGGTTCATAGATGCTTTTTAACTCTGTCTAAACTGGAAAGTGAGGACTGGGCAGCAGTACTCCGTTTTTGGTTTGATTTTGCTCTTGTAGAGATAGAGCATAGTAGTAAGAGTCTTGTATTTTCCAACATCTTTTAGGATCAATCTTATATATAAGCTCCACTTTAGGTCTGGGGTGAACTGAAGTCTCAATAGGCATTCAAAGCAAAGAGCCTCCTTGAGAGAACAAGCATTCATCCTGATAGGTAAAAATTTAGGGTCTGCTTGATGATGGAATGTTACTAGTTTAGCTTTTGAGTTATTGAATGTTACAAGCCTACCGAGCTGTTAGAGCTTGTTTGGAAGAGAGATCAGATGCCAGGATCTTATTTAGATTTTGGGAGGTGTACCTATGCACTATTGTATCATCTTCATAGATCTTACTTATTATAAAATGCAGATTGTGTGTGTGTGTTTATATATGGGATCGTATTTCCTACATTTTTCAACCGATTTCAACAAAACTTCACAGGACTACATAAATTTACCCGGCGGTGGTTCTGACAGCGCCAAAAATTAGAAAAATACAATTGTTTTTGCACGAAATCAATTTGAAAGCACGGTTAAGGGTATCGCATCTGGACGGAAGTTACTGCCGGCTACTCAAACGTCCAAATGCCGTTAACTTCCGGTGACTCAGCGTTTTTTTTCAGACAACGATACACAAAATGTAAAACAAATGAAACATAAACATGCACAAGTCCTCCTAACTAAAAATAATAACCGGAAACTACTTTAAATACACATGGTGTCCAAAAGATATTGCCAACCGGGTACGATGCTACTGCAGCCAACATATATACAGCCAATTTCTTGGCTCCAGGGTAGAGCAATGTGTTCCCCCTCTCACCTTCACCTGGCCGACCCTCGTGGAAAATAAACCTCCACATCTCAAGTGTTATTAAAAGCAAAGCATGTCAGATTTATAAAGATTTCCTATTTGTCCCTTATCCTATCATTCTCTTTCATTCCTATCTATATTTGATCTTAATTCATATATATATATATATATATATATATATATATATATATATATATATAGGCATAGTTTTTGTTTTATTTATTTATATTTATATATATATATATATATATATATATATAAAAAAAAACAGATGCAAACTATGCCTGGAAAAAAAAATTGAAATAATTAAATACAAAAATACAAGCCAGTTATTGAACCAGAGAAATGAAATTATACTTAAATGTCATCATAAAAATAAGTTTATATAGTCTTAAAAATAGACATTTATTTTGCATCAAACACTGAAAAATATATATTAGGTTTGTAACTATGTAAGTTTATATATATGTATGTATATATATGTGTGTGTATCTATCTATTACTTTTATTACTATTATTATTACTTTAAATATATTATATATATATTTTTTTATTACTATTAAATGGTGATGATGTTTAAATGAATAACAACATAGATTGCATTTCTGTAATTTTTATTACTGGTTGTGCAGTTAAAGTTTTATCCATAAAACTTTTCCCTACCTTCCCTTACTGCAATATTCTCAAAAAAAATCTAAAGTAGGATCTGTAATGTAATTGGTACTGAATTAGCTTCTTGACTTCAGCCGCTTTCTCACAGATGTGATGTGGCTTCCCTCTGTCTTTTCTACAAATATTTTCATGGCTACTGCACTGATGAGCATTTTTTTTTCCTGGTGCCCTGACTACATGAATTTAAGTGTACTACTAGATTAGCAACTAGGTCCCAACTTTTTACTGTTAAAATAGTTAAATGTAACTGCCCTTCTAACAGTTTCTTTCCTTGCACTTCTCCATATTGGAACTCTATTCCTCTCACTTGCTTCCCTGATTACAATCATCAAAAACCTAAATGCAACATCAGTCACCATGTTTTGTTGCGTTGATACCTGTTCTTTTTGCCTTTCTTCAATCCCCCCTACACCCACTGTTTTCTCTCATTTTCACTCTCCATAACCCCCTGTGTGATAATGGCACTTCTGACTTGCTTGGGGTGAAATGCTTAAAAAAAAAAAACCAAAACATTGAATATAAAATAATTAGGGTACTGACAAAAGCATCTAATAAAATAATTAGGATACTGAAAATAGCATCTACCACAATCAAAGGTAAAGCTCTCCCTACCAACAACTAAAATAATAAAAAAGTGCTCAATACAATATATATATATATATATATATATATATATATATATATATATATATAAAGGCAGGATATGTGTGTGTGTGTGTGTAACGAATGCACGGCCACAATTTTCGACAGATTTGCACCAAAATTTACATGCACATACTCCAAGTTAGCGGGAAGGCCAAGACTGATTTTGCATTTCCCAACTCCCCTCTATGGTGGAAATAATCAATTTTTTTCATGCTTCTACGACAGTTTTCATGTAGTTTGCGGCCATTTTCTACTGGCCAGAGTGAGAGCCTATAGCTGGCTGCCATGAATAGGCAGGAAGATTCTATTGGCCAATGTGGGAGCCAACAGCTGACTGACACAAATGTTAACTAGCATGCTTGCATGTAAAAAAAATCGATAGCTGCATTTGTCACAAGTAGAATAAATTTAAATCTGCATGGTACTTTACTCCAATTGGCTCATTCACTTGCTTAAATTCAACATTGATTCTGATTCCGCAGAACTGGGTTGGGTGTGAAAAAGTATTTGTTAAAATTCTTTTTTCATTTGGTTCTTCCAGTTACGAGTCCTCTTTTTAAAGCTGATTGTTTTGTGTTCATTTTGTTTAGTTCTTTTTCGTAACAGATTTAATGTTTAGTATAGAGCTTAGAAAAAATTTGCAGTGTGAGATAGGCAAGAAGTAAGGCATGTAGCAACATCAGCACGGTAAAAGGCACTCCTTTAAAGGCAAGGAAGGGCAAAAATATTTTAAGTCAAGTGATAGCGATTGCTGTATGAGTCATACGATTTTTGATTCAAGCACAGGAAACGCCGGGCCATGTTGCTAGTATTTACTAAAGTTCTAAGCAGACCTATTTGTTTGGATGAATTTGAAAATTGAGAAAGCTCTTTCAGAGATTCTATCAGTGGAGAATTTGTGTAAAAAACTCCCTATATCACACTTATGTCTAAGGTGATAATCCTTGTGATGAATTTATTGACTAGTATCTGACTGATTATGTGTGTAATTACAGTAAAAACATCAGCAGTAGACCTAGAAGAGTGAAATTCATACTTTATTGCTCAGGAGGTTCTTCTTGCTGAGGTGATCAACAATCTTCTTGTTGATCATAGGCACAGAGTTTGTTGATAGTACTAAGGAGGCAGATGGGTTGATATAGCAACAGGGATGAGGGCTTACAAATTATATATATAGAGAGATATGGGACAACATAAGTTTTAATTAACTTATGTGAAAACCACACATAAAAGCTGATGCAAATAATTTTCAACACTTGATTTCAATATTTTAACTATACCCTGCTTATATAATATTGATTATTCTCAAGTAATATCTTGATTTGGTTGTTATCAATCTTAACTGATCAATACAACTGTGGAGCATCATTCAGCAAGAAATTTCCTGCACAAAACTTTGCAAACCAATTTGTGACATGTTTAACTATTCAGAGTAGCTTCTCTATTAACTGTACAAAGCTTTTTTGCATTTGAATTGCATTTTTACCTTACTTAAAATGCAAATACATAATATGCCAAAACTTTTTGCTTAACAAATAAAAATGTGCCAAGTTTGTCAATGTTATTTTTTTAAATGTGCGGATACGATGACTATAG